GTGGCCGGCTTCAAACATACCTACTTCTTATAGTTCAATTTGGCCCACTTAATGAGGCTTCTCATTTTTTAGTTGGGTATCCTATGCTTTATGAGATGTATGCACCCTATTTCGTCTAAGGTGAATACATATCATATTACTGATTTACTGATAGTCTCGAAACTCCACTCTAATACGAAAATCCTATGCTTTGCCGAGATGTTTGTTGAAGAGTTAAGTTGAGTGGCTGCAGATGAAGCGTGAAACGGATGCAATTGTGACCGAACAACTGCATTCTCTTCTACAACACTGACACCTTTTATCCTGCAATATTACCGCGAAGACTTAATCACTTAATAACAAATGATATAACACTCTTGTGACCTCTCAACTTGGGTTACCGAAAGTCTTTGGTATATTTCTCCATTTACCTCGGCATGCCGTTGAGCTGGGTGAGAAGTGGCCGACTGGATGGATCGGACATCATGTTTATCAGTACACCCAAAGTGCAATAGATGAGATCCGGCCGCGGTGAATCCAACTGGTCAAGCATGCAGGCCAAAAAGACCAAGCTGGGCTGACTGGATCTTGGCGAACAGGTAGCCTCAATTCCGGCAACATGTTTTGCGGCTCCTTTACGCCAATCGCATGTAATTCCGTCACTTGCTCGTCTGTGCAACTCTAAACCGTCTCTCGACCTCTCCCTCCAGCAGGCGGGATCGTCGTCTTCAGCGGCAGTAGGATGACTTTGTGCCTCTTCCTTCCTTATGATTTTCACGCTTTCGTCTCCTCCTTTTTCATCCTCGCTCATTGCCTTGACGCCACCAGAGGTCACATCAATGGCGTCCGTCTTCAGACATTGTTCCAAGTGGCTTGAGTCAAGGCCTAACAAGAATTGACCACCGGATCGGATCAACCATTCACGGATGCTCGGGTTCCGAGTCAGGTTTCCGAACACCCGTATGGGGCCTATCACCATGTCCGGGGTGTCCGTGTGCTGAACAAGTAGTACCAGAAGAACTAGAAAGAATATGTTTCAGAGAATATGTGGGAAATAGAAAACGAGGGAGATTACCAAAGGATTACAGTCTATCTACTATTGGATTTAAGACAAATAGAAACTGTCGACTTCAATAGATCAACTAGAGATAGTATGCATATGTGTGTATGTG